TCTTTGGACTGTAAGAAATGCTCCATCAACATGCTTCAATTATCGTAGTGACCATCGAAACAAGGAATTGTTGCTTGCATGAAGTTACTCTCCGAGACCATTTATGCTGTAAAATAGAAAAACAAGATGAGCAAAACAAAAGTTAATGTTACTAAACTATTGCTTGCACTTCCTTGTGTTTCCCTTTTAGGATTTCCTCGCTCTTCCCAAATATGGCTCTGATACCACTATTAACAAGAAATAAACACAAGGGACAACAAATATGTGAGGAAGCGAAAGATTTCACTACATTGAATTGAGAATGCTTTAGTCTATTTATATAGGCAAAATACATAACAGAATCATATAAAAATAGAACTCCACGACTAACAAAATTCTAAACTAAGCTCCTAAAGACTAGAACAATAATGACTGATAACAAAGAACATTAATGAATAAATATTAAAAATAGTTGTTATGCTAACATGGTAAGTAGACCATGGAGGACGACAAATAAAATTTGGGGCCACTATCTCTGGATCAATTGACGAAATTTGATGTTAGGGCATGAATGTAGGAGAGGAACAAAAAAACAGAGAAATTCTAGACAATCGTTGAACAGAGAGACCATTGTTTCTTAATAGATTTCTTACTCTGGGGATGACAATTGTCTTCCTTTATCAATTAGTATTTTTCTCTATTGTTCTCCTAGCTTGCATAGACCCACGCTTTCAATCAACTCTAGTCTTCCACAAATTTTATATCATAAACATGCATATTCCTCTCATGAAGACATGAAAACTCTCTTTGACTCTTCATTCCTTTGACTTTTCCAGTATTTGAGTCAAAGAGGTTGTAATTTTTTTCAATGCATGATTTTTCTCAAAATATATGGCTTCCCCGTCATTTCAACACTAAAACTTAATCTTCTAAATTTGTTTCCCCTTCTATTGAGACAATTTTTGAATGGGGTTAAAATCCTTCAACTCTTTTGCAGTTCACAACCAAAGTACATCCACGTATAATCTTTATTTTTCAACTAATAGTTGCATTATAGTTTCATCTTCACTTTTTTTTTTTTTTTTTTTGAGAAAAGGTTTCATCTTCACTCTAACAGAGAAGTTAATGAGGTTATTTTGAAATAATTTTAAACGTTAAAGATTAAAATGAAACTTTTGAAATGATAAGGGTATAATTAAAACCTACCCAAAGTTTAGGGACATAATCGAAACTTGCTATTTGTACAGCTATTTTAGAAATTACCACCACACCACTTTTCCATCTTTGTTTTAATAGAAAATTGACATAATGGTAATTTTGAAACACATTTAAAATGTAAAAAAAAAAAAAATTGAACTTTTGAAAATTTAGATGTACTAGTATTTTCCATTGTGCATTCATTTTTTCTATCCAAGAAAATACATTATTTTATAATACGAATACAGATAAATATTATGGAACTAATATTATGGATATATGTCAATTACCACTTAACTATGCTGTTCTGGCTTATCAAAGAAAAAAGTTTCTTTCACGTTCACAATTTTATGTATATTATTTTGTTCCATGTGTCATGCACATTTTAAATTTTATAAAATTTAATTATTTTAAATGTATTCATGTAAAAGTAAATTATTTGTAAATGATGTTTTTTTAGTACATCACGTGGAGGATTCAAACTCTTAACCTCATGTTTGGATACGTATGCCTTAACTCGATGAGCTATGCTATAGTTGGCTCATACTGTTTAAAATTTATAGATATTTTTTTTAATACATTGCACACAACAATTTTTTATTGCTATTTTTTTTACAATTATATAGTTATATAAAGTATACAGTATCAATCATAGCAATTATTAATTAATAGGATATGATTTGTATTTTGTTAAAAACTAAATTTGTTCAGGCATTTCTAATTTGAAATAAAATATCAACATTTTTTTAGATAAACATAAAATATCAACATTTAAACTCTAAGCATTCATAAAAGTTCAAAATGATATTGACAACTTAGAGTAAAAATAAAATATACAAATTCAAACGCAGGGATAAAATTTTTAAACAATAAAATAATAAGATTTAATTATAAATTATTATTAAGATTAATTATAAAATAATTATTATGAATAATAGTAAGTAGGGAAGAAGAGAAAATCAGTGTGTGCGCATAATTAAAAACAAATTACTACTGAGATATGCAATATTGTGGTCTTTAAATTATAATAATAGATAAAATATTAAGATAAATGGTATTGACTATTAAATGAAAGTACAGGAAAATAAAAGGTATGAATTTTAGAAGTTTATGTTTTTATTGTTGAAGGTAAAAAGATTTATTTTATTTAATATTTTAAAAGTAACATAATAAATTATCATAATTAAATTGTCAAAGCGAATATAGCTCAACTGATAATTGACATATGCCTCCAATCAAGAGCTTGTGAGTTCGAATTCCCTCCCCAACCTGTTGTCCTCAAACAAGAAAAAAGCAGAATTGAAACAATAAGTATAATATTGATAGATCAGTATGGAAGTTGCTTTAAGGTTCTTTATCACTGTCAGAGAGCCATTAGAAGCTTGTCAAAGATCCTGTCGAAAGTTCAGTCTATTAAATAGAGACATCTCGCCTCATTTTCAATACGTGAAACTATATTCTCTCTAAAGTATAAATCGGCTAACTACTGACTTGAACATCGGAATGTTTGCTCTGTTTTGCCAGTCCATTCACTTTAGCTCGTTCAAGGCATCAGTCATCCAGTGCCCACGTTTGTGACCCTTGGTCAATATCTTGATCAAATAGTAGACAAAATAACTATTGTAAATTTTCTGTTCCTTCTCTCCCAACTCTAGAGTTTTAGTTCCAGTGTGATATCGGTGGTTTAGTTCATTGCAATAGTAAAGTTGGTGTTGTCTAATATATCATATCTTGTGAGACAAAATCTTAAACATGAGTGAGAGACGAATATGTTTAAAGAAACTTTTGTGTGATACATATGTCGGGAAATTGATTCACCTAAATAATTTTCCCGAAAATATCCAACACAACTACAAATATGCAAATAGGAAGAAAACATTAAAGACAAGTAAACGACACAGCAAATTATACTGGTTCACCAGTAAGGACTACGTCTAGTCTTCCACTCAGATGTGGGTAATTCACTAATATAGTTTAGGATTGGATACAATCGCTCTCCCAAAAATATCCCCTAGAGGTCTCAACAAAAGCCCTCTAGCTTCTAAATATTTTATACAATTAATATTTAGGAACGGAATGAAAGACTCACAATAATCAAGATCTAATTACCCCAAATGTGTTGATCTTGATGAGCCTCAATGCCTCTGCCAATTCCCGAGCCTCTCCCTTGAAACTGTCACGAAACCCTCTAAAAAACGGCTCAAAATTGACTGGACAATAACCCTTTTTCGACCGGAAAACCCTAATCCTGAAACTGCATTTATATAGACATCGAAACAGCGCCACGACGCTGTCCCCGGCGCCATGGCACTACGGACGAAAAAGTCCGCCCGTGTTCACCATCTGGACAGCGCCGCGGCGCTGCCTTTTCGGCCCGAGTGGCATGCAGCGCTCGCTTCTCCCCTGTTTTCATTCTGCTTCGATCCCGACTCGATCCCGATTCTTCCCTAGCTCATTCTGATATCGTTTTGACTCCACCAACCCGAACAACCTAGGCTTCCAAGTATTTGAATTTTTGGCAGTTCCATAGCTACAAGTTTCATAATTATTATTCATATAATTTTCTTTATACAATTTTCAATATAATATTTTTTTATTTTTCCAAGCGTTTCAACCAGAATCGTTGAAGAAGAGATTTTTTATAATTAAACAAATCAAAAGATTACGGTAGAATTGAAAAATTTTTAAATGTTAAAAGGAAAATTTGAAATCAATTAGCTAGGTCAATGACATATTTTATGACTGAGAGAAAAAGAAGTTATGATATTATTTTCAGAATTTTTTTCAAACAACTACCTCTCCCTAGTAATTGACATATATATCTTCAACTAAAAGTTTGTGAGTTTAATCCAATCCTCACCGTCACATATTGTACTTAAAAAAACCTAGTAGAGATCCATAACTTCATGTAAGATAGGGGAGGTATAAAAATAATTTTGAATTGGTATATTTATTTAGTTTATATGTTCTTATACTAAATTGATTAAATTACAAATTTTATCCTTAAATTTTATTTATTTTTTAAATTGTGTTTAATAGATATCTAAATTAAAAATATATATATAATAAATCTTAAACTTTCAATTTTGCGTTTAAGTCTAAAATCATTAAAAAATATCTAATAGGTCCATGAATTTTCAACTTTGTGTCCAATATGTGTTCTTGAACTTTAAAAAGTCTATTAGGTTAAGGATCTATCAGACATAAAAGTAAAAGTTCGATGACCTACTAGACACAAAATTTAAAGTTTGGAGACCTACTGGATATTTTTTTAAATTTGAAGACTATTAAAAACAACTCTCAATATTGATATTACCAACATGTGAGCTTTAGATAAGCGGTGATAAGCACATATCTCTGATTCAAAGTTGAGCTTTGTTCAGGCTATGATTTTTTCTATTAATCAATCTTTTAATTGCATGTGATATTTTCATTTATTTTATCCTATATTAAAATATATTTTATTTGAAGCAAATTTGAGTATGTGTCAAAGAAAATCTTTTTGATGTAACAAATAAAAATTTGATTCGTATTAATCATCAAATTATTCATTTGATCACTTCATTTATAATTATTATTTCTATTCCACACTTTTATAACTAAATATTTCTATGAAGTAATTATTTTAATAAATTTTTAATACCAAATATAAATCTATTTATTTTTCAATGGAATAAATACTTCTACTCTATGTTTTCTTATTTAACACACATTTTAGCAATTTATACTCATAATATTTATTTATGGCAATAATATTTAACACTTACTTTAAAATTGAAGTAGTAATGAGAATTTGGAGACTTAGCTAAAGTAAGAGGCCATTATTGTCCAAAAAGAACTCTCCTATATCCATACTTATAAAGTATTGATGTACAAAACTTTATATTATTTATAGAAGGGAAAGAAAACAAAGTAGAAAAAAATATTATCACACAAATTAATTATTTAAAGAGAAAAAAAAAACAAGAAACAATATCTAGGGACTGTTAATAAGGACTTTTTCTATGTTTGAGTGAGTGATCTTTGATGAGCTATCTCTGAAAATGAAGAGTATGTTCCAAGGATTGCTCCAATGATGCCCAACACAATTACCACCTTGCATGAAATGATCTACAACACAAAATTTCAAAATTTTCAACTTTTTTACAATTTCTCTTTTTGAGGATTAATAATAGATTAAATAATAAGTTTAATCTCTGAACTTTGACGGACTTTCACTTTTGTGTTTAATAAGTCATTGAAATTATATGAAAAAAAAATGTCTAATAAGTCAAAACTTATTAGGCACAAAGTTGAACGGTCGGAAACTTATTAGCCATCGAATTAAAACTTTAGTGGTTTATTTGATACTTTTTGATGTTAGCTAAAACGAGCATATTTTAACGGTAATTGACATATATCTCTAATCAAGAGGTTATTTGTTCGATCTCCATACTTTTTTGATGTTAAGAGATCTAATAAACACAACTTCGAAAGTTCAAGGAGTAAACTTTTAATTTAACCTTAATTATATATTTTCTTTTGTTATTTGTTTCGGTTATGTTTATGTACATTTTGAAGTTTTATATTAATTATAGTAGTTTAGTTAAATCTTATTAATGTACAACATAAATTTTTGACAATAATGTAGTTTATATTAGTAGCACGCCATTTAGAAAATTGGTGAGTTTTTGCTATTTTTTTTAATTAGCGTAAAATAGATTTTTGGTCCCTGAATTTTGGACTTCGTTTCTATTTGGTTCTTGAGTTTAAAAAACCATCACTTAATAGTCATTGAAATTGAAATTTAGTTCCTATTTTGTCGTAAAGTTCACAGGCATGTTTGATCCCTGAAGTTTGATTTTAGTTTTTAATTGATCAATTAGGTTTGAGTTTGGTTTTTAATTGGCCCCTAATAGAACTGATCGTTATTTAACCTAATGGAATAATGATATGACGTCAACATATGTTTACTAGACAGTGAGAGAGATATCTCAAATGACTCAATATGAACATCGACAAATTTAGTTGGCTGTCGAGAAATTATTTGTTGATTCGCATCGTAAACTAGATCCTAGTCAAATTTTTACTGTTAAACTATAGATGAAGTAAGAGGAAGGGTCGTGACGCTGTCGAAAGAGTGGAAGAAATGGAGGAGAAGAAAAGTGAGGGAGAAAGATGAGGAGAGAAAAATGACACTCAGAGAATAAATAATGAAATTTGTCACTCATTTTAAAAACACACCCTCACTAAAGTCTAGTCAATATATATATGTTAGCTATCACGTAATCATCTTGTTAGGTCATAACTAACGGTCAACCCAACTCACGGACCAATTAGAAATCAAATTTAAGTTTCAATGACCAATTAAAAACCAAATTCAAACTTCAGGAATCGGCTTTATAATTTCTAAGATCGAATTAAAATTAAATTTAAATCTCAGGCACCAAATATAGATAAAAGTATATTTTGCCCTTTTATTATTATTATTAACATTAAGATTTTCATTCAAATTGAATCAGTTGATTAATGCCATGAACTATTTTCATTGATAAAATTTAACTAAGAAATAAAAGTTAATATTAATAGTAATTATATTTCCTTATGTTTTTTTTTATTAATTAGCTATTCATATATAGTTATTAACAATTTTTATAAATATAATTAAAATTAAAATTCATGAAAACACATTAATAAAAAATATCAATTCAAACAAGTTTTTCTAAATTAAAATACGCTAATAGATATATTTAAACTCTAATGTTTGGATTTTATATCTCAAATTTTCATAAAATTAAATGTAAAGAAAAAGAAAAAATAATTATTGATATACATACCTGTGTATTGGTAGCTTCTTTCCCCATGATTTTCAAAAAGCAAGAGGCTGGTATTATTATTGCCTGAACCAAAATATAAGTAATTTATGTATACACAATAATATTATTTTTGTTTTTTACAATTAATAAGCACTTTTCAAGGAAGTCATAAATTCAGAAGTACTTTACCAATATAGATGCTTTCCACATAAACATTTATTTATCCCTATTAATCCATCATAAAATAAAATTTATCTTGCAATAATTTACAATTTATCATTCACTTTTAAGTAATATATTAAAAAAAACATTTTCATTTTATTAAAAGAAATTTTAAAATATTAATTAGAACCAAACCAAAGTAATTATTTTTTAAGCATATTTTAATATAATTGTTCTATATATATAAAAAGCACTTTTAATTAAACATATATTTTTTAAAAGAATTCTCAAATACAATATTGGAAAGTGAAAAAACCACAATTTTATTTTGTTTTGAAAAAAATTAATGAGCTGAATACACTTACAATAAGTATGCAGAGAAGAGAACCAATTAAAGCCATCACAAGACCTGCAATTCACACAAGAGAGTGATTAAGTAATTTTATTACTTTTTTTTTAAATACTATTTTGGTTTTAGTAGCTTTGGTTCATTTTAGTTATTGTACTGGTTCATTTTAGTCCCTATATTTTAAACTTTGATTCATTTAGTCCCTGTACTTTGAAAATGTTCATTTGATCCATGTGCTTTTAATAAGTGATCATTTTGATTCCTCTTTGCAAAATTTTAATACAAATTTTACACATAACGGTAACTTTTAGTATAAATTAATGTTTACATTTTAAGAAATATATTGATTTAGTGTCGTGTTGAAATTGTGAAAAAAAACGAGATTAAGAATAAAATTAAGAAACCAAAATAGTCGCTTTTTAAACGTACATGGACCAAAATGAACATTTTGAAAATACAGAGACAAAAACGAATATTTTAAAAGTATAAGAACCAAAATGAACCACAACTGAACGTACACGACCAGACTAGTATGCAATCCTATCACGTCACCTCATTCAATATTTTTTCTTAACGAAATGCTACTTTAGATTATTACATATTTTCTTTTAAGTTAAGAAATTAAATAATTAAGCAGAAGGTGAAAATTTTAATTTAATTATAAGGGGAAACATAGCATACCAAAAAATGGGAGAAGGAGAGCAACACAAACAGAGGAGATAACAAGTGCAGTTCTTATAAGAATGGAGCAGCAGTAGCTATTTGAATATCTGGCTGGAAGTCTCTCCTCTATACTCTTTGCCAATGGAGTCATCAACAATGCATATCTGAGAAATTGTTAAGGACTCCAAATTCCAAAACTTCAACCAAATTTTATTTTATTTTCAGAACATCATCAATGTATGTGAAAAAGGATATTTAGTCAATGGAACAATAACCTGTCAAAAAAGAGAAAAAAAATCAACCTACCGATTTTGTTTTATTTTAGTCTCTATACTTTCAAATGTCCAAATCGGGTCCTTATTATTAACATTCATGGGTTTCATCTCAAAACCAATTGACAAGAAGAGAAGTAGCTCATGTCTATTATAAAACCATCATCAGGCTTCTTATCTTTTTATTTTCAATGTGCAAGATCGTGACTCTTTTTGCTTGCTTATCGATCTTGGCCTGATACCATTTTCGGACCGGAGGTTCATTTGAGTTTTTGGGTTCTGATACCATATTAACATTCATGAAATTCCATCTCAAAATCAATTGGTAATGATCAGAGGAGTAGCTCATATCTATTATAAAGTCTCTTGTCTTTTTCAATGTGAGATCTGAAGGCTCATATTTGCAATAAATTTTAATACTAAAAAAATTAGAAAAGAAAAAATAAAAACCTCTATGGATATTACATAAACTAAATTTGGACATTTGAAAGTAGGAATTAAATTGGGATTTTTTAATAGAGAGGATTGAAAATATGTAAAAATTATTAAACTTATTAATTAAAGTGCTTAGATAAATGGTGAAAGTAAAACTTACTGTGGTCCACTTTGCAACTTTGGATACAAGAGCATGTTGTGGCATGTTCAAAGTTATTTGAGATAATATACTTTGGCCAAACATGAGAAATCCCATCACAGCAACTCCCCCAAATATTATAACACAAAATACAAAACTGCCAAATATAAAAATATATTGAAACATCAGGTGTAAGATGAAAAGTAAATATATAATAGCATTCAAATTACCATTGTTGAATCTCTATGATTTGAGTTTAGTTTTAAATTCGTCCCTACAATTTTAAAGATTCAAATAAATGGTATGATTTGATAACTGCCTACAAACTTAAACTATTGTTTACTCACTCAAAGACTCACCATTTCCTCTTCTTTTTGATCTCTAAACCCTTATTATAGTTGTAATTAACACATACCGTCATTTTAGAAAAAAAAAAAACCTAATTTACTGCCTCGTAAAAATAGAAAACGTATCCCATATTTAAGATGGCAATAGCATTGTAACAACATGGATGATTGGTAAGATTTGATAAAATTATAGAGACCAAATTGAAACTAGCATAAACTAAGATACGTTGAATTGAAACTTTAAAAATCATAAACACTAAATAGAAAATAAGCTCAAATAGTAGGAACCAAATCCTATGACCTAAAAAACTACTTATAAATATAGCGCATAGTTGGAGTTTGAGGGGCATACCATATTAGGAGGGCCTTACTGAACTTGGTTTTATCTGCCATGGAATGGTAAAGATTTGGAAAGAGGGTATGGCCTGAGAAACAAAATCCATAAGCCCCAATGGCAAATGGAATGCCCTTCCAATTCACCACTTCACCACTCCCACCTTCATCGAACCCTATTCCTCCGATGGTTCCCAAATAGCCTATGCTTAGAATTACCACTGTGGTTGCCAGCACCCCGCCAGCTGAAATTTTACAAACAGATGGTTAAATCATCGATCAACCTAAAAACTTAAGTTTATATATAGTTAATTACGATAAACTTAATTTTCTAATATATGGACCTTCTACTCTAATATGATGTTGAATCATCACTCAACCCAAAAGTTTAAGTCAATTGACAGTTACGGTAAATTTAATGAAATTTAATCTTTTATATATATATAGGTTAAGTTAAATACATATATTTAGTCCTTAAATTTTAAAAAGTTTGATTAATCACATTAGATCTGTCATTTCTTGCTAATAAGATTGTAGGGATGTCGGGTGAGATCTAATGAAAAATAGAAACACTGTTATGAAACTTTTTTCTTTTTTTTTTAATAACATAAAGTGTTAAGGGATTCGAACTCACGACTTTCTAATCGGACATAGTTACCTTAACCCATTAAGTTATGCTCAGGTTGGTAACGTTTATGAAACTTTTAACTGCATAGCAATGAGATTTATGTAAATATTGTTAACTTTTTAAAAACAGACAATGTTATATTTATTAATTTAGTCATTGAATAACATGGTGTGCTTATTGAACAAACGAAGACAGATCTAGATGAATGATAGAAGAAAGTGAACAACTAACTAGGACAAAACTACAGTAACGAAACATGGACGGTAAAAGAGATTTGATACGTTGCTTCGACATCGTCATTACATGAAAGGAAAAAATTTTATATGTATATCCATATAGAAATTAAAGATATGTTACCTGAGAGATATGAGATCCAACGCAGATCTCTGAGCCACACAGTGGGCAAAACGATAAGAGCAGTAATAATTGCAAAGAGATGCATGGAGTCCAAATGAAGGCCCCAAAAACTTAACCACGCATCTGGAAATAGACTACTTAGATTGTCTTGTTCCAATATGATAAACTCCACGCAGCAACACTGTACAAAAAATTTTATACACGCATCCAAAAAACAATCAAATATTCGCAAAAAAACTCTTTAATGCAAAGTTATGAAAAATTTATATTGAGATTGTAATAAAACGATGGAATACAAAAAAAAACAGGACGTCAGATACAACTATTTTTTAATAGTATAGAGATCAAAATAACCAAGTGAAACTGTGAACATGTTCTTTTGAGTCAAGTTATTTCAATTTAAATCATATAAATTGGATATGTTTTAAAAATATTTTGGGTGGGACATGTCAATCAAATTAAAGTTTGAAAGAAATTTTGACGTCCCACCATCATTTTATCAATGGAATATTTCAATATTTTGTGATAATTAAAGAGTTGATTAGAATAAAAGATCCAATCCATAAAAAATGAGATTGAAACTTTAAAGATGAAGTACAAAATTGAAAAGACCCAAACAGGAAGAACGTTGAATCAAAGTGAGTTGGAGATTTCACTTACATATAATTCCAAATATAGAAGTATCTGCAGCAAGAAGCAGAAGAAGGTTAGCTCAAGCAAAAAAAGAATATATATATATATAATAAAAAAAAAGTTTAAATACTATTTTTGACTCATTTTAATTCATATATTTGGAAACGTTTATTTTGATTCTGGCATTTTCAACTTTTGTTCTCTCTGTACTTTTAGAAATATTAAAAGAAAAGAAAAAAAGCTCACAGATACAAGAAGACGTCCATAGGTTCCAAAGGCAGCCTGTCCCAAATCTGGAAAAGTGATGATTTTGAATTCCGTTGATCTTTTTTCAAAGCAATACTTCATAAGCATGGCTGTGAAGTAGCAAACAACAGCAAAAACAAGAAGCACTCCCAGGCTGCCCCACCCAGCTTCTTTTACTGTGTAAGGTGTCGACAGAAGCCCTACTCCAGCCATGAAGTTCATTCCTGTCACATCCCACGCACACATTATTATTATTGTATAATATATGATCCTATTTATTGCATTTTGATTTTCCCTTTTGTTTTGTTTTTATCTGCCTCCAAGGCATCTTTGGGGTGATCTAATAGTCTCTTCTAGAGAAACAACAATCGGGTTGGTATGTGCATTTTTGTTTGTTGTCTCTGTTGTTCACTTTGATCTCTTATCCTCTCACCATGTAATCCATTTTGACAACCTTGAGTTGTAGGGTCCTTTTTCTATTGTTCTTTTTGGTTGATTTAGTCTATCTTTTTACTTTTTTTTCTTCTTTTAACTTTGGAAAATAAAAAACTAAAGACATACTTGTTTGGTAATGTTCTTCTTTTTTGTTTCTATTTTCTGTGTTAAGGATCCCACATCGATAAAAGAGTGGATCTTACATACAAGAACTATTCCTCTCATTGTCAATTGATTTTGAGATTAAACCCCAAAAATATTAATATGATATCAGAATCCAAAATGCTCAAACCAGCAATCGGTCCAAAAAATCGATGAGCCAAAAGAGCCACAAGAAGGGACCTTACATAAGTTTATAATAGACATAGACTACTCTTGAAACTCATGAATATTAATATTATGATCTTATATAATAAAGAAATTAAAATATGTCACACCAGCTTTGAGATCTGGACTACTCAAATTAGAAATGGAAATAAGAAACATAAAACTTGTTTTTGTAAGTTACATGTAGAGATAGCAACCGAGCTAAGGTAGATTAGGGATGTCTGTCTTCATTTTTCTGTCTTTGGATGTATTTTCAAAGGACAGTTCATTCACTCTTATATATATATATATATATATATATATATATATATATATATATATATATTTTTTGTTTCATAATAAAAAATCAATTAAATAAATAATAAATAAAACATACATTTCAAAATTAAAACATAGGGGAAAATAATTTACTAAATAATTTAGTGTTATTAATTAAAAAATTTATAATTTTTTAATAATGTATGAGTACAAAAGTCAATAAATATAATTAAAAATCCAAAGATAGGAACATGTCATCCTCGCTTAAGTCGGAAAATTTCCACCTAGTGTGGGGAAAAATTGACAAATGTTATTCACATGTATATCAATTCTTCCTAAAGTAATAATAAAAAAAATTAATTGATTAAAATTGAAATATATATATATATAATTATAAATTATTTTAGTCTCGATTCTTTAATGTTAAGGATCCACATCGATAAAAGAAATGACTTTACATAAATTTATAATAGACCTGAGTTACTCCTCTCATTGTCAATTGATTTTAAGATGGAACCCTATAAATATTGATAGGAACAAGAAACATAATTTGAATTAATAGTTCGATGCTAATTAACATTTATCTCCAATCAAAAGGTTGTGAGTTCAATCCCTCACCCCACATGTTGTACTCAAAAGAAGAAGAAAAAAAAAGAGAGAAAATCATGACCATCCCTTTTTAGGAACATTTACCTATTATATGGAGAAGATAAAGTATACAATTCAACAGGCCAACTATTAAACAACTTATTAAAAATACAAGACAGAAAGAAAAACCTCACCCCACTTTCTATCCTTTCGAAAGTTTTAACACTACTTTACTTTTGACAATTCATCTTTTAATTGTCATGTCGTAAATAATTTTTCATTCAAAATATCAAAAAATGTTTGGTCAAATAATATTTATGAAATGACTATAAAAGATAAATGACGATCTTTTTTCCCTCTATTATTACTTACTAGTCATAAATATAATTGATATATTATATAGAAGAAAAAGAAAGAGTTGGTGGAGGGTGAGTTATGTTACCGTTGAAAACGGTCTGCGTGAAGGTGCAGCCGTGGCGCGTAGGCAATGCTTGTGAAGATGAGCTATCATTCGAGTCATCATAAATATAATTATAATTATAATTATAATCGCTGGATAATAATGGAGCCTCAGCCTCGCCCTTCTCGCCGGACTCCAGCCCATTCCTGAAGCTCGATTTTATGACGTTTGGAATCCGTAAAATCCCAAATGTTGGTGAAGCCGTAATGGCGTAACAGTCGCTCGCTTCTCTGTCATGTTATAATAATTATTACGAGGTGGGTCCCACTCTTGTCCCCATAAATCAAATTCACTATTCTAAAATTAAACTTCATACCCCTTTTTTGTCTTCTAATTTAAATCCCTAAAGTTCTATTAAATTAAAAATATTTTAAAAATAAGATACTTTAAAAAGATGATTTAAAGGGATGGAATTCAAAATTTGACGTCAAAATTGACTCACCTATCTAAATTCACAGGTGTAATTAAATTGAATTACTTTTTAATTTTTTTTTCACTTAATAAATTATAAAAAAGCAAAAGACGCTACCTATAGATGGGATAGACTTGAAAAGAAGTAAAATTGGAAGCAACCATATATATTATATATAAAATATTAACTTGTGCAAAGAGATATGATTATTGCAATTAAATTTATTAAGGATGATAAATTAATTATCATTTAATTAAACTTAACTTAATTAAGAACTAATTCTATTATAAGTTTTAGCTGCTTAATTTTTTTAAAATCCAAAGTAATTTCATGTGGCTCAAACCCAAGATTGTTCTTTGAAGTTCCAAACCACCAAGCTATCCTTTATTTCTTTTTTAATGATTTTTTTTTTAACAATGATTGATCAAGGAAAGCAATCGAACTACGTTCATGTGATAGAAACTCTTCGTATTTAGCCTATTACATATTACTTTAAGCATTTGTCAATGTCAACATTTATTGCTTATATAAATGAACAAAAGTAATGTGCTTACTACGTTAGGTTTTTATTAAATCATTTATTGAAAAAGGCTAAAATAATTTATTTTATACAAAGTTAAAGGGATATTTGAATGTTTAGGAATAAAATAAAGCTAACATAAAAAGTTGAGGAAAACCGAATGAGATTTAGATATTTAATTTGGGTTACTTGCAAAAGTTGACTATGACTAGAAAACACCTTCGTTATCTCCAAAAAAAGAAAAAAAAAGCTCTTAAATCTATAGTCCTTTTTTTAATACTCAATTTATAGTCCCAATAAATATATTTAATTACAACTTTTTCATACACATCACAAAAAAAAAAAAAAATCAACAAATGAAGAAATAAATTAATTTATTTTGTTCTTGTGAATGATAACAATCAATTCATTCTTCCATCAGAATTAAAGATTTCAAAACCATTTCTATTTAAAAGTAAGAAAATTGTCAAACTTTCAATTTCATTAAATTAAACCCTAGATTTATAGATGTTGCAATTCTTAGCCTATGTTCTTCTAATCCACCCACTCATTGTCAATAAATCTCGTAAAATTCATCGGTTTCAATGAATCAAGTTTAGCAAAAATAAATAAATAAATAAATTTGATCACAAAATCGACCGTGGAAAAGAAAAATAAAATCTTATCTACTTTATATATATATATATATATATTTCAGATTCTTCGGATAAAAATAGCAACATTTTTCAATTTCACGGTACAAATTGAACACTCGATTAAAAAAGAAAAAGTTATTAAAACCCTAACTCGGAATAGAAAGGAAATTAAACCCTCCAAAAACACAACAAAGATTGGATCCAAAAAGGCATTAATGATTAGTATTACAGTTAATTAAACGCACCTGAAACTCTGCGGCCATGGTTGAGAATCGGCAGCGGTGGAATCTTTCCCGTCGTTCCGACTGGCATAGCTACAATCACTTTCACTTTCCACGTCGCTATCATTCATCTCGACATCATCTTCGTGACCGTCATTGCAGTAATCTCCGACATGGCCGTTCGTTTTCTCAACCATGACGGTTGATTCGAAGAACCAGAGGATTAAGAATAGAGAAAACTTGAAGCTAAAATTTGGAGGATGGCGAATTAATGAATTGACCACAAGGCTGGTGCTGCTGCTGCTTGTGCGCAGGAGGCCATATATTTATATCAAAGGGGCAGGCAGAGGCAGAAATGGTTGTGGTTGGTGGTGTCTTTTAAATGCCCCAATAACTCTTTTTAGGATTGCCAATGGTACTAATTTTTTTTTACAACATCTGGAGATGGATGGGAGATCGAATTCACAACTTCTGTATTGAAAATTATGCTAATTATCCTTGAGCTATGCTTGCTTTGACGGTAACTAATTTTGAATTAAATCATACATAATAATTAGATATTGACCGTGGGGTGTTACTTTTTTCTGTGGGACCCGTCCCAGACGGAGTAGAAAATCCTTGTTTAAGTGGGTTGTTGGCTGATGAGATGTGTGTAAGGTTTATATTTTCTTTTTACTTATTTGTATTAATAATTTAAATTGTGAAACTTAAATTTTTAGAATTTATTGGTTTGTGAATTATGAAATATTGTGGGAAATTTAAGACTTTTCACTTTTAGAATTCTCCCTTTGCGTGGAGATCTAAATGGATGTTCACCGTAGAGAATTCATATTTAATTGGAAATTTTCTATAATAAATATGGAATAATTTACTGTGGAAAAATTCCAATACACGTGAGTTCCATGTGAAAATCTCCATCTCAATCTTCGCAAAATTTTAGAGGTGAATGAAATGGAAGGGTAGCGATGGTCATTCTCTATCTCCATCCTACCTAGATAATTAATACTCAGTCTCTAGTGAGTAGATTTTCCTAAGACCGCTATTAAAAATTGATAGTTATTTATTTTTGTGGGGGGAAAAAGAAAAAACCTCTGGTGCTTCCCCTCCATTCATGCATTCCTCCTCATTGTTAAAAACATAAGGGTGGTAGGAGATATCAATTGAGAAGGTGTATTTTATTCTCTCTCATCTGCCCCTAAGTTTTTTTAAAAAAATGTTTTAGTAAACCCTAAATTTCCAAAATGTTGGTGTAACTTTTTAAGAGTGTCTTAAATTTTAGATTTTAAATGTTGTATATAATGAGTTAAAAGTTTAGGGATCGGTTGGCAACTTAGTTTATTCATTTCTATCTGTATCTAAAAAAAGTCTTTAAAAGTCTAGTCAAATTTTGAAATCTAAATAAGTACTTAAAAAGTTTGTTTGATTTAATTTTCTTCAAAAATTGATTAAGCTAGTCCATGTGAAAGGATGAATAGCCGATCTATGACCTGTCAGTCCGTAATCATCCAACCTTCTTATCGTAATTGCCATAACAGACTTGTCCCTTCACTTCGCTTACGTACAAAAGACACTCATTAATTCCTCAAAACTCAGGTATGCAATTCTGTTTCGAGAACAACCAACTTGATCTTGCACCTAGTGTTTGGTTTTTTTCTTTTCGGATCCTATCTTGTATGAGTTCTCGTTCCTCGTTAGCTCGACCATAGGATACATGCTCGACCTCGATAGCTTGAAAAATCCTACATCGGCAAAGTTAATAACAAAATCATTATTAAATATGACTTGAACAAAGCCATTTAAAAACAATTTTCGTAAGTTTAATTTAAAAACAGACAAAAAATTATTATGAAATGGAACAAAGTCAACAAATATAATAAATAGTGTTGATACAGATAATTTAGACATGGCCTAAATTGTTTTCTATAATGGTTTTTGGGATCTGATTCGGAAGAGATTTCTATACTTTTCATTTGTTTATCTTTTAGAAAATAAAAATAAAAAAAAGAAAAGAAAAACGAAAAGCAATTCAATGAAGAGATATATTTAGATCCTTATCTCTAAACAGTTGGTATTCTTTTTTTCTTTCCTTCTCCATCTCATAGATGACTTTTAAAAGAAAAATAGTTTATTAGCACTCGCATGCACATTGTATATTTTGTTTTATTTTATAATAATAAAATTTATAAATTTGATAAATTTATTTTATTATTTATAAATTGTAATGGTAAACATATAAGATTGAAAATAATAATTATTATTAAATATCATTATTTTTAAAAAATTGATGAGAGCAGGGCCTTGAGGCCTATGGCTATGGCCCCTTCTCAGATCGGCCACTCCCCGAACATTTCAATTTTTAATTTTTTTTGTATTTGGGTAAAATTTCTGGTACTACAGAGTACTACTCTCATTCACCGTTGATTATGAGGAACGGACCCAGAGGTAGGTAAGCGGATTGGGGCCTATCGACCCAGTGGCCGAGAACCTCTCCAGTGATTCTCGACCCCCGTGCAAGCCCTGGCCGAATCGACTCGGTCTCGACCTTGAATAGTACAGCGTGAGGCTCATTATGTGATCAAGGATTCGACGAATGTAAACCCTAGGAGGATTAGGGTTCAGCCGATCCTAAAGGAATGAGGAGTCGACCATTATAAATACAAGGATAGACCAAACCCTAAAGGTATGCTCACAACACCTTACGCTTTACACTCAACTACTCCGATTCTAACTTAAGCATTTAGTGCTATTCTGTTTTGCAGGTCTCGTTGATCCCTTTATTCTAGAAGATTGATGCGAGGAATCCCAGAAGGCCAAATTTTTGCATCAACAATGTGGAGTCCATTAACGTTCAAATAATGTAAAAGTAAAATTATAGTGTGAACAAAGACAAGAGTATGACGATATTATTGTATAAGGAATTCTTCTGCCCCACCAATAAATCCCACGTGCTACTCTTATATCCTTTACATTTCTTTATCTATTATTTGAAGTTTTTTTGTATCAACCTTTTGATCAGCTCCTCATGTAGAAACTCAGGTTGAGAACCTTTGTTTCTTTATGAAAGCTTTCTAGAGTGGAATTTTTCTTCCGTGCTTATTTCATTCATTTTTTAGAAAAGTTACATTTTTGTCTATTTTCAATAATCTCACATTCTCGATGCTGCTTCATTTTTGTCTAAGATAATAAACAACACTCGAACCGGTGTTTCACCAGTGAGTTCTTTAATCGGAGGAGTTATCTTGGAATGAGATACTTTTTTTTAGTACAATATGTGGGGATGAGATATCGAACTCACAATTTCATGGTTGGAGGCATATGTCAATTATCGTTGAGTTACGCTTGCTTTGGCATCTTGGGATGAGATACAAAGTTGTTTAGTCTGAAATTGTGCAACTTGAGATTTTTGGTGGCTAATTTTTTTGGTACGATTGGGAGCTAGATTTCAATAATTTGTTTAAAATTAAAAAAAATTAATTAATAGATGTTTCTGTCCATTCTAAAATTTGATCATATTATTTTATGAATATTTTTAAAAATAAAATGAGTTGTTTTTTATTTCTCTTTGTTTTTATTGCATGATTTTAAAATTCAATTTAACACGATTTTTTAAATTGTTTTTGGTTATTTTAATTTGATTATCTTAAAAATCCTTGGTCAACCAGTGATTGGCCTTTCGAATGCCTCTTTCCTTACTTTCTTGAGAGGCCCTTTACAACTATAAAGAAGAGGCGGCTGTGGGAAGGTCGACGACTACACGGACTCTATACAACATCCTCATAAATAGTTTTATGATCTCGGCTAATTTCATTCTCACTCTAATAGAAAGGCTAGGAATGACCAGAGGTGTATGGACGTTTACTCTGTCTACCGCATAAGCCCATGATAAGTCATTTCCAAATGCTTCAATCAAGTTATTAATGACTGGACGAAACCAGAAAAAAACCCATCACGTGCGAAATGCACCATCTTCAACTCTTCTTGGGATCCAGTATTTTTCGAGAAAATGTCCAATCCATTAATATCATGGATGAGATCAAAAAGAACAGTTGCTTACTTGCGAAGAAGGGGGCAAAGGATGATTGAAAACCTTGATCGTTATGTACGTGATCATGCACGATCACACTTTTGGCTTGCTACAAGCTGGGCTCAGGGACTGTAGTTAGTGGGGCCCACTATTTGAATATTAGTAAAGGCACCAAACTCGAGATCTTATCCCTTGAGGCATCTTAAGCTAAGCTAACACGTCGGAGCTGGCTGCTGGCACAACTGGGTGGTCCCTTAGTATCACTTGGTTGGGGCAGAGTTTTGCCTGCCACCGAATATAAAAACCCTTACAGCTGTCTAACCTATTGATCAAGCTCCAGCCCTGAAATAACAGCCCGAGGATCGACCTATGCTACTACCAAGCTCACCGCTGCCAAGCAAGGGCCTGACTCGTTATTCAGCCTCACTTGCGGCTCAGGGAAGAGGGGCTCTAAGGGCGCCGCTATGCCCCACAACTCTGCTGTGACCTTACAAACAAAGAGGAAACTTCTTCAAGGTAACAAGACGTACGAATAGACAAACGAAGCAGCGTTCTCCCCGAGCAGCAGCTCTGATGTTTGACAGACGTGTCCCCCCTATCTAGTAAGGTAAGTGGCCCTATGTTAGTTGGGGAAGTTGACATCAGGCTATTGGCGTTTTATCTACCCACTTGCTTGGAGTGCGGGTAAGGGCTCACCTATTGTTTCAGGAATATATGTTTTTGATGTAGTTGCGCACATTTTGCATTTTTCATCTAGATTGGGTCGATAGTATTGCCTCACCAACTAACTAATTAGGTGCGAGTCCCTCCTCGGGCAGATTCCTCCTCCTGCAGATCATCAGGTCCGCCCGGTTGGGCTCAACCTCAGAGACTAGTACTATGTCTATGTCTCTATCTTTGACCTCTCGATTGAGCAGTCATTGAGTAGCTCTGGTGCTCAATCTTGGGTCTTAGGTGTGGGTCTTATTTGGTACAGAGAGACTTTCAACAGAACTTGGGCTAGACTTTGGTTGGGCAATGGTAAGTTGATTCGCTTCTAGGATGATGTTTGGTCGTTCAATCTCAATACGCGCATTAGAGAAGGGGGGCTTGGTTTTTTTATACTAAAACTGATTTTTTTAAGTTTGTTGTTTTTTTTTTCTAGTCAAAACCTGTTACGTGGCTTTCTTCTCCATGTTCTTCTCTCCCTATTTTCTCTAAGCTTTTTTTACTACAATATTACGGTTGTATTTTTTTTTTTTTTGTATTTAAGGAGGGGAGCAACACCACTAAAAAATATTAGAGTAATAGTACACCCACTACACCAC